GTGTGTGTGTGTGTGTGTGTGTGTGTGTGTGTGTGTGTGTACATATGTATGTATACATGTGTTTTATATGTGTATTTGTGTATAATGTATGTATACATATGTACACATACACTGTTAACACAATATTCTGATTAAAGTTTTCTTCTTTATAGCTTAAGACCTTGTAATTAATTTGAATGAAAATGATCCTAGGGGGGCTATATTGGAACACATTATTGGTTTTTTATACTTAAGGCTAATGAGTTTCAAATGCCTCCTTGAGATTAATTCTTCACTAAAACTTGAAAAAGAAACCATGATAATTGATTTGAGAAAAGAGTTGAGGCACAGTACAGGGGAAGAGGAAGGGGCAAAAATGAAAAAGAACAGAAATGTTAAAGTCAAAATCTGTGTGAGCCATAATGGAAAGATAAGAGAATAGTGGGCTTCATCCATGGCTGTGTGGCCATAGGCTGGTCCTCTAACTTCCCTGATCCTCAGATTCTCATCTGTAAATGGGAATTCTAACTTTTAATAATATTTGCATTGAAAAATTGTAAGAATGAAGAAAATCTAAAGTTGGCCTAGGCATATGGTAGGAACATGTTATAGTTTCCCTTCCCATTTATTTCCCTAAGAGTAGTCCTATATCCATCTACAAACAGAAGTAACATTGTAACTAAGTAGATTTTAGAACTAAGAAAAGTAGTGTTATTACTGTTTATAAAAACACCCATTTTTAAACTTTATGAATTCTATATTGACTCTCATTCATGCTTATTGACACCACTACAGCTCCTTTCATTGAAAATGCTTTCAGCAATTGAATAAATGAGACATATAAGGAAAATTGAAGGTTCCAGGATTAGTGAAAGGTGGATAAACAAGGAGGCCCCAGTCCGGATTCCTCTAAGTGGATCACAGGGTATTTAATATTGTGTCTGTGCAGAGTAAAATTGTCTCCTGAGAAAAGTTGAGTCCAACATAATCAAATAAAATAGATGATGATTAAACTAATTACTAAATAAATATGTAAATGGACAAAGGATACTATGTGTAATATAGATAGATGCAGACCTAGACAATCAAGTCAGCTGCTGAGATTACAGTGGCCTTCCCTAGGTATAGGTGGATACATTCTGTTTGTTTTCTTCTGGTTGTCCTGTGAAAAATGAAGCTTCTAAATCTAGATGTTTCCGAATACTGACCAGTATGTGAACTCACTTGTTAGAAAGATATAGAGTTACAGCTATGCATCAAGAATTGCACCTCCAGTGCAAAAACATTTTCTCTATGGGGCTGTCTGACCTGTGAAAACGTGGAAATGCCCATCAGAGTACTAATGACATATACCTGGGAGGATAAAGGTGGAGAACCCTTAGTATTACTACATGGAAGTGTCTAGATAATAAACTCGTGCTGATGGACTGGCAGTGTCTACAGACACACATTCTATTTTAGTTAACAGGATTTAGAGTATCTCTTGACCCTAGAAACTATAATCCTACAGTTACTATTGAGAGCAAATACTTATTTAGAGAGAAAATAAATACTTCTCACTGAGCACATGTCTAGTTTAGACAGAAATTTGTCATAGGCATGTTATTTTTGTTTCTTAACAAAATAGATTTTGTATGATAGTTTAAAAATATCATAGAGCACAGTGATTTTTTTTGACCATTTAAAACTTCTCAAGGAAAAATATTAAATAATGCCAATATAATAATAGTGTGTACATGATAAGATAAAAGTTCAAATATTTATCACTTGAATCTAAAGTGAAGTTTAGGGTATGAGGTTTTAAAAAGTGCATTTAACATTGTATTTATTGACCCTTCCCTTCTCTAAAACCTCTGGTTTTTGAGTCTAAGATAATCACACAGTGATATGGCCACGAAATTAAACTCTATCATCACCCTTACAAATCCCCCCACCAGGAACAAGCTCCACATCACCTGCCGGTTCATAACCCACCTCTTTCTGACTCTGTCCTGCTGACAGTAAATCCCCTCACCAGCTAATTGAACAGATGCAACCAGTGCTGCTTCCTAAAAATCCACAAAGCTGGGCTTTGATGGACAGCAGAAAGTGGCACAATGGAAAACAAAAGCCTTTTAACTGAGAGCACCGCTTTGTTCTGCTCCGAACTCTAAGGTCACTCCAGCTCTTTCTGGCTGCTGTGAGGATCTTAATTTTTACTCCACCAATTTACTTGCAGCTGTCATTCCTTCCAATATTAAAAGTTCAGCTTCTCGAGTGTGGGGAATTGAGGGAGAGGGGAATGAGAAGAGCTTGTTGTGGACTAAAAACAGCAAGAACCAGTGAAATCTGGCTTGGCTCTGAAGTACAAAAAGTTATTTTCAAAGCCTATAAATTATGACATAGTGATTAACATGTAATTTAAATATATTTAAACAACAATTATATCACATTTCCAGCCCAGCTAATTGGCCTCACAGATGTTCCCTTGGAGCTACATTGCCCTTCCAGGGGGAAATGAATGAGGTGCTTTTTATCATGGAAAACAGATAAAAAAAAAAAAAGCAAACTGAAAAAAAAATGGAAATAGTAGCATAAAAAGCAGCCAGTACCCCTAAAAACAATGAATGCTGAGGGGCTTTGCTTAGCATTTTTTCCATTTTAATGTGGAAAACGGGGGAAAGCATGAAGAAGATGCTCTATTCCTGTGATGCTATTTGGCAGGCTGTCCAGAGATAGAGTTGGCAGGCTTCTGACTGAGACACTTGTCAAAGCAGGGACAGTAGGCGCATTCTAATAGGGCACAGCCCAGCCTCCTGTCTTGGAGCAGGCTAACTACCAGAGGTACAGTGATTTTTAATACAATGCCTTTATAATCAAAGGCATTCTGGCCCAGGTAATGAAGATAGATAATGAACTGCTGAAGAATGTCTTGTGAGTTAGTCCTTCAATCACTTATCTCTCTCAAGTTTTATGAAATGAAAAGTGTGCAAGTTCCTTAGCTGTAATTTGAGTGGAATATTACCCAGTACAACAAATCTTACAACAAATCTGACAAGATTTAAAGTTAAGTTTAAAGGCTCAAAGAAACAATGGTATTTAGTCAGGTTTTGGCATACCTAGCCTTTTAACATTTGATCTAAGAATTGAAATAGATTCACTCCAGTCTCATTTCATTCTTGTTTTTTTTCTCCTAAAAGTCTCAGGTACCATCTGATAACACAGTATAAATCCCGAAGACCAATGACCATGTTTCTTCTAGTACATCCTGCTATCTCCAGCACCTACCACAGTGCCTTTGCTTTTATTGTTGAGATTTAATACATATTTGTTAAATACTTACTGGTTAATCAGGGTTTTTAATATGATCAGGTTCTGATAGGCAGTTGTCTTAGTTCTTGTATCATCCCAATGTTTTCTCAATCTTTGGTTTGCATTGAAATTTCCTTTCTCAAATTTTATAAAGGAGTTTATTTGTATCTTTCTAAAAGATAGTAAAGTATATTTAAGATGATTAGAAAACAGCTAAGCATTTAAAAATGACTTTGATGAGTGGCTTGAGCATATTGATGCTTGAATTTAAAAATTCAGTTTAGCTGATGTGAATATTTAAACATGTATATCATTTACATTTATATACTAATGCAGAGCTTACAAAGTCCGTTTATACAGAAACCTATTTTGTCATGCCTAAGAACAAAGTAGAGTGACCAAGAATAAAAACTAAGGTCTGAGATATTTCATGTTTGACCAAATTCACAGTAATTGGGACTGAGGCCCAAATTTCTAACAGGATATAAAACAATCTACTTAACGCATTATATCACTTTTACACATTGCATGTTAAATATGTATCTAGAAGCAACCTAATTCTTCATCGACTAATGCATGGGTAAAGAAAGTGTGGTGAATATACATAATGGGGGTACTATTTGTCCATGAAAAAGGATGAAATCCTGTCATTCATGACAACATGGATGGAGCTGGAGATTGTTATATTGAGTGAAATAAACCAGCCACAGAAAGACAATGTATGATCTCATTCATTTGTGGAATCTAGCTGATTGCATACAAGTTGGGAGTAGAATGATGGTTACCAGAAGCTGAGCAGGAGGGAAAGGAAGAGGTTGAACACTGAGTAACAAGTTACAGTTAGACAGGAGCAAGAATTTCTTTTGTGCTGTTGTGCAGTAGGGACACACAGGTAACAATAATGAGATACATACAACCCCTTCACTTACCCTAAGGAACATTGTTCTTAATAATTAATGACATTTTATATCCACTTTCACTTAGCCCATAGGATAGACTATGAAGCTATAAAAATATAAGTGTCTTTTGGTGTTTTCACTGAAATCTGGTTTTGACAGATTTTAAATACATAAAAGAAATGTAAAAGCACATTTCCCAGAAAGGAATTGATTTTTCCAATTTCCCACTGTTTCTTAACTAAAAATAAAGTAAGAGCGAAGATAAAATAGTGTATATCTTTTTATAATGAGAGGCTAAGAAGTCCATTGCTGATGTCCATTGTTGAAGTGGTGAAAAATTAATGTAACTTAATAACAAATTATTTCAGCATATTATAATCTACTTTATCACCTTCTAGATACATTTTTTTTTGTTTTCTAAGAGAAAAGCTAATGCTATGATATGAGGCTATTTCAGTCATTTGGCATGTAAAGAAAGAAACTGTATCTCATTTACAAGTATAGTTAATTATTGATTGCTGTTTCCTTTCTTCTAGGGTTAATTAGAAGAATGCTTACTATTAACTTACATTTTCAATCCATTGAAAAATTTCTTTTTTCATATAACTTTCCTTTTCAGGAATTGAATTAAAATATTTAATTTCCTCAAAACATAAATACACTCATTTGCATAATACATTACAGTTTTAATGTTTAGGGAAAATCACTGTTGTGCACGTTTCCCACGTTAGTTCATACAACTCATGTGCTTTTTCGTTTCCTTTTCTTTTTTAATTTTCCATTCATGTTGCCTCTTATTATATCCATCATTCCATTTTTCTTTCCTATTAGAGTGAAATTGGACACAGCCCTCCTCCTGCCTACACCCCCATGTCAGGAGTAAGTATTTCATGATCAACCTTCACCTCAGGATTTTTGGTCTTTGCTTACCATGTTTCTTCTCTCACATCTCCCCATAATTTCCTCATTTTGCCTTGCCAACAGTGAGTTAAGAATTTATAGTGTAGCTGCCTTTGTAGGGGTCTTTTATCTCAGTAGATAATCCAAAGCTGAGATATCATGCATCATCAGTGGCTTCAACTTTCATCTGAAGGACTTACCTGGGCTCATAAATTATTCTTCTAGGTGAGGAGGTTATCATAACTGCCATGATTACAGGTCATGTGCTAAAAAGGCAGAATCTCAGTGATGGTTCTCTAGTTACAGACTGGAGACTCAGACACAGAAACCACAGAATAAAAAGCAGTAAGGAAATGTCACCGTGCACGATGTATCACTGTATTTCTGTTCTTAAAGTCATTTGTCGTGAAAATTCACTTTGCATTTATTTTTCTATCAAAAATTGGCAAAATTGTGGGAAAATGACATGAAATGAAATACTTTTTTATTCGATCCCCTTACCTGGTTAGTAAAATTAAAAAAATATATATTTCCAAATTATTTTCCTGTGATTTACCTTTCAAGGGAAATGGGAATTATAACTGTTTCTAGTCCGTAATTCAAATTCATTAGCCACTAAGGGAAAAAAAATGTAGTAAATACTGTGACTTTCCTTTGAAAGACGAGCATTGATATCTTTCTGGTTGGTCGCACTCATGTTTTTCTACCATTCCTAACCACAGCTTCTCTCGAAATGTGCTTCTACTGTTAACAGAACCAGTTTGTATACCGGGATGGGGGTTTTGCTGCAGAACAAGGAATGGCAGTACCCTACAGGGCCACAACCAGCACAATCCCAGAAGCACCAGTTGCTCAGGGAGCTGCAGCTGAGATTTTCGACGACTCCTGTTGTAATGGCACCCTGCGTAAGCCCGTGCAACCCCATGTCCAAGAGGACAGTAGCACCCAGAGGTACAGTGCTGACCCCACAGCGTTTGCCCCAGAACGGAGCCCACGAGGAGAGCTGGATGAAGAAGGTTACATGACACCTATGAGAGACAAACCCAAACAAGGTACAGACCAAACATTGAGAAAATGATTGCCACCCACATTCTCTTCCATCAAAAGTTACAATGTATTCTATGGGAATTTCTGGACAGCTGGACTGTGTAAGGTTGTGACCTGCAAAAGTCTTAGGCTGCTATCCCTTGTGGTATTCTTCCTGAACCAGCTAGTAGCATGCACATTACCTAGATGCTTCTGCTTAGAAATCAGAATCTCAGACCCTACCTGAATAGGATCTTCAGGGGATCTGTATGCACAGGCAAGCTGAAGAAGCACTCACCTTCACTGGAATGTATGAATTTGGTAGCACAGCACAACTGCAGAACCATTATTGTGATGGACAGAAAGGCTTGTGTTGGCAAAAGTGTCTGAAGCTTTTGATGGCACCAGTAAAATATGTGGTAGCTTCATTAAAATGACGTAGTTTAAATAACATAGTTTATTTTAGGAAATTATGATTTCTCATATGATACTTCTCAAAATGAAAGTTTTAACCCTCTATGTGCTTCCATATTCCACCAACTCTTGAAAAGAATGATTCGTGATTTTACAAAGCTCAGCAATGACTTTGTAAAAGTTAGTGGTAGAAATATTAAACACCCAAATCAAATGTTTCAGTTTTGAGAAAAAAACACAAGTGCCTCTTTTCTTCTATGCTAAAAGCATCACAAAACAGAGATGAATAACTGATATTAAAAATGATGATATTGTCTCTGAATCTTCAGTGTCAATAGCCATATTTTAAGACTCTCTATGAGAGCCTCTTATGTTGTTTTTGTATGATTATGTTCACTTTTATAAAATACCTTCTAGAAATTCCTGAAGACATTATTGAATGTACAGTTTAATGTATAGAGTTGTCCAAAAGTGGCACAAATGTAGGCTTTGTGAAGATTTGGTAGAGTCCCTAAAAGCAGAGTTCTCTTTAGAAGATTGTCACCTCAACTAGAATTATCTCTCCCAAACTGAACAGTTGTACAAGTTTGTATCAGTACAGCAGATAACTAGATAGTGTTGAAAAATAGTAATAGAAGATTCTAAGAGAAGAGTAAGTCAGTCTATGTAGACTCGCTGAAGAGTATTCTTAGATTTTATCTATGGACACTAATATCCAAGTATTTGTAATATATTCTAGCCTAGTCCTCAGAGTATAGAATTTTACTATAGGCATTCCTACCTTTTAAGAATGTTCTGAAATCTGCTAAGAAAATTCAAAATCTAGCTACTTTGTAAGTTCTTCATACTTTTTTCCCTCCAAATTAAATCTTGCCACTAACTATATAGTTCACCCTACTCCTGTTGGGGAAAAGTAAAAACAGTGTAATAGAATAAGATTATATAAGAGAAATTAGAAGATCTGAATTCTCTATGAAGCTGGAAAAATAAGATTTGCACTTTCTTGCTCAAGAATTATGGTAGGGATGAAATGATAGCGTTTTATACTTTTTGAACTATAATTCATATACATGATGGTGGAATATTCAGAACTGCCTTTTAGCTTGTACTAGTAATACTAGACAGTGAACTCTATCAAGCATGTGTTTATTCAGGGAAAAATTTAATCCTGGCTAATGGGATTTCACTTTGTACATGTTGGGCTAAGAATGGGGGATAGAAAGTTTGTTTTAAATAATTTTTAACCTTAAATAATTTTGCCTTCTCCATATCCTGACTCCAAAATATGAATACCTTAGGTTTTTATGTGTATGGTAAAAAGAGAGGACAAAGAATTCTAGTAGATATGTAGATGTATGTCTTATTGTGCTCTATTACCGATTTTGAGGTGAAACTCAGCTTGAGAAAGCAGTGTTAGGTATCAGAGTTATTTTTATTTTAGGCCAATACCTTTTCTCTAAATGGATTTATTAGATTGAACCATGCAAAGTAGACACTATTTTTACCATTAAAATGACTATTTTATATGATTGAAATTAATGACTTGCTCTTTTGTGACTATGATTAGACTTTGGAAATAAATGTTATAATTATTAAGCAAGTGCGTATGTAACAGCAAGCAACTCAGCTAGAAGCATGTAGGATGTTTGTCAGATTTATTTTATTAAAAAGTTGAATTTTTTCCTGGGCTGTTTCCTTTCCTATGCCAAAAGCTTTCTGGGAGTAGCTACAATCAAATGTTAATGGTATAGGCATTCATGGCAAATCACATAGACTAAAACCATGATTCTTCACTTTATCCACTTTTTTTTTTTTGGCACAAGGTTAAGTCATGAATGTTTTGGTTTTTTGATATTTTTATAAAATTTCTAATTCCTCTATATTGAAGGCTATTTAACTCAGACAGGTCATCTTCTTTTCAAATATAAACTAACAATTTTCAGAAAATAAAAGCTTTTACACAACCAGCCCATATGTGGGACAGACAAATAAAATTGGGTGGAAAGAAGAGCAATCTAGAGGAGAGGAATTCTGACCCTGGTCTTGTCAGTGCCTTGCTTTGTCATGAATACTCCTTTTTTCATAGAGCAGTAGTAATCTACAAACAGCTTGAGAATTTGTGAACACCTATATGTGACTTTCCATACAAAGAAGCTAACCTTAGTATGATTATCATTCTTCTGAAAGCAGATGCTACCTGATATTTCTGTGTTCCTACAGAATACCTAAGTCCAGTGGAGGAGAACCCTTTTGTTTCTCGGCGAAAAAATGGAGACCTTCAAGCTTTGGATAATCCCGAGTATCACAATGCTTCCAGTGGCCCACCCAAAGCAGAGGATGAGTATGTGAACGAGCCTCTGTACCTTAACACCTTTGCCAACACCTTGGGGAATGCTGAGTACCTGAAGAACAACGTTCTGTCTGTGCCCGAGAAGGCCAGGAAAGCGTTTGACAACCCTGACTACTGGAACCACAGCCTGCCCCCCAGGAGCACCCTACAGCACCCAGACTACCTGCAGGAGTACAGCACAAAATATTTTTATAAACAGAATGGACGGATCCGGCCTATCGTGGCAGAGAATCCTGAATACCTCTCTGAGTTCTCGCTGAAGCCAGGCACTGTGCTGCCTCCTCCACCCTACAGACACCGGAATACTGTGGTGTAAGCTCAGCCCTGGTTCTAAGGTGGAGAGACACACCCGCTCCAATTTCCCCACCCTCTCTCTTTCTCTGGTGGTCTTCCTTCTACCCCCCAAGGCCAGTAGTTTTGATGCTTCCCAGTGGAAGACATAGAGACGCAATGATAGTTACTCGCTTATCTAACTTGAGCATAAGAAGGAAGGACTGAAAGATAAAGAGAGGAGGAACCACACTGTTTCTTCATCTCTCTGAATGGATTGGTTAGGAAAGTGAACAGCTGGAGATGGACCAGAAAACAATAAGGCAATGCTGCCTGCTGTCAAACTAGCTCTCTCTCTCCCTTTCCCTCCCTTCCTCCCTCTGTTCCTTTCTTCTTTCTTCTTTCCTTTTTTTTTTTTAATTGCTGATGGTTGAACCACCCACACTATCTGTTCCTTCCTGTAGTAATTGATGATCATATTCAGCATCCCTGGGAATCATTAAATTTCCATTAGAACAAAAGGATAATCATTTCAGTAACATGAGACTAACTGAGATTCAGAATCCAATTTTTTTCCTCAATAGTTTCTATCCTGGTAAGGAAGAATGACAATCCCAGCTTTCATAATTTTTAAATCTTCACCAACTTCATATAGAGTAATTTTATTTGGAAGCCTTTTCTGATTTATTTTTCTTCTCCTTCTCTTTTCCTTTTCCTTCTCTAACTTTTTTTTTTTTTTTTTTTTTTGCTTTGGCTTATATCTTTGTATTGGTTACTTTTCTATTTGGGGCTTTAATTTCTAATTGCAAGAATATTTCCATCAAAGCTTCTTTATATCATTTAAAAATATTTTAATATGATGAAATGGTCACTATTTTTTTTTTAAATCAGTCTTTAAAATTAGAAGGGAAGGTCAAGACCCTAGTTAAATTCTGCACCAACTCTAGCATTCATGTTTTGCACTATTGAGTATATTCTCCCTTACCCTTTACATTCTTCAACATTTTCTTCTCTTCCATAAATGGCAGTACTTGATAGGCAGTTGATAATCTTAAGAATAGAAGGAATCAAGGAGATAGTTCTATGTGGTTCAAGAAAACTACTGATACGTTCAGGGGTGGTTCAATGGGGGAATCCATGAACTGGAAGAAACACTGGATGGGTATGTCTACTTGGAAGATATTCAGAAATGTAGTTTGCACTTAAGCTATAAATTTATTTGTTATTTTTCTGAACTCCATTTTGGATTTTGAATGAAGCAATATGGAAGCAACCAGCAAATTAACTAATTTAAGTACGTTTTTTCTTTAAGAGCTAAGATAAAGACAGACTGTGGAAATGCCAAATGAAGCAAATTAGGATTTTGGAACAAAATCCAGGGATTACAGTGACACAGCGAGCACATTAGCTCCATAGGATATCATGTTTGCTACATAAGGAAATTTGTTCAGTTTGAATATTCCATATGAAGGAATGCAAGTAAAGGATTGGTTTGAATTCCATGGAATTTCTAGTAGGAGATTCTCTTTATATTGAATAGAAGGTAACTCTTTGCATAAATTGGTATAACATAAAGAAAAACACAAATATTCATAGCTTGTAGGTAGGTCCTTGGGTCAAAATTTGTAAATAAATGTGAAAATTCTTCTCATGCAATCATTTTATTCTCCAACACATGAATCTTTTGACATTTCGACTTAAGAACTCATTTTCTGCACACACTGCTCCGAGATGTAGAACCATCTGTGACTTTTCATTTTAAAAGAACATCTACTGAGTTAAGATGAGTGATGGAAACAAATGACAGTTGAGTTTCTAGTAAAGCAGGGGCTCACAATAATAGGAAAATTATATACATATACATATATATGTATATGTTTGTATGTATATATATGTTTTCTGTTTTGCCCCAAAATCATTTATAATTTAAAAATTACTTTTTTCTAATGTTTAAGAATTGGGAGCAAAGGAAATTCAATAACCTAAAGATAATCAGTTAAACTAAAAATGTCCATTAGTAAAGCAGAGAGAGATTAGAGGGGGAAAATTCCAAGTAAATCTGTTTCTACCTAATTTGAAAAATAAATCTATTCATCCAAAACCTATTTATTCAACAGATATTGATTTAGAGTCTACTAAATATAGAATATCCTCCCTGACTTCAAAGTTTTGCAGTCAAGACTTATTTGGAATGAAATTTTAATTTCTCCATGAGTTCAAAAACTCAGATTGCATGGATTATTTTGTGAGTAGTATCCATAAAATCAGATTTTTTTAGGTAAAAAATGTCTTGTGAACTAATTTGGAACATGAATGAAACATCCTTCAAGTTACTGATTTGGCAAATAGGATAATTTCTACCATAACCTCCAAACATGGTCCAATAGGATATAGCCTCACTGGCTCATTGGTCTATCTGGATTCCAACTTCACCATTAAAACAATAGCCAATGATGAATGATCTTTGGTGAAATCCCTTAGAGGTGCTGGGGTTGGTCTCAAGTTCTCAGGAGTCAGGCAAGTTGAAAGAGTGAGGTTAAGGAGAAGGAAGATTAATGAGGTTCTTTCCAGTGAAGTTCATCACTTTCTCAAGGATGAAAACATAGATTGACTCAGGACCACAACCTACCATCTCAAAGCTCTTCCCCTCCATTCAGAGAAATTTCTAGGAAAAGGGCACTTCCTCTTTGTACCCATGAGAATTGAATATAAACCCCTCTTTCTAGATAAATCTGTATCAAGTCATCTTTGACAGCACTACTTGACCTTTTCATTTACAATATTCATATGACTTTTGCCGTATGAATGGGAAGCAGGAACACCTAATTTGAAGAAGGAAAAATAATAATCTTTTTTTTAACTGTTAAGGTAATAGATATATACTTAGCATATGTAGTCTCCTTTCTCTTAAAACACAAGACTTACAGTTTATGTAATTTCCGTGTAATCACTAGAGACTGATGTAAGTACAATTCAAACTGGCCTAAAGTACTTAACATTTTTTTTGAATGATTTGTCTCATATGCTTGATTTCCATTGTTTGGGGCTTTCATTTTTGTTATATTTTTGTCCCCTAGGAAAACATATTTAACAGTATATAAGAAGGAGTAAAAATAACATTTTAACCCAGTAGACTGAAATCTTAAAACACAAGTTAAAGCTTGCAAATTGCTTTAGCATATCAGAAATCAGAGGCCAGTGGTATCAATGGAAATATGCAGAATCAATTGTGTAAATTTGAGAAAAATTAATATTAAAACTATACTGACTGTATTTTTTAAATTGCCGGATTTTTTCAATTGAACCTATCTTGTAGAATCCTATTTTCAGACACAGAAAAACCTTATAAATTGTTGTTTAAAGAATTAGTTCTTAAACAGGTACGAAAAGATGTCTTCTAAACCTGAGTAAATCCAGAATCACAAGGCATGTGTGGCACAGAGGTACTTTGATGACCTAGCAGCTTTTGGTTTTCTGAATATTATTAGTAGCACGGGATCAGATGAGAGTGTTTTCTTCAGAAGCATTCTCAAATAACATGAAAAACAAAACAATATTTAAACTCTATTAAAAACTAAGAAACTTAGCTTTGTATATCAGGAGGAATGACCTAGTAATGTACCTTGAAGTTCTTCCTGGTGTGTCAGTGTCAAAGATGGATGTGGCACGAGGATGGTGCTCATCTCTAATGCTGGGGAAAGATAGAAAAAGTGCTCTGAGGCTCTGCTGCTAGATGAACTTGGAAGGATGATTAGTGCACTTTGTGAAGTGTCAAAAAGCAAAAGAAAATTAACATCATTTATGCCTGACAGGGAAGGATGTAAATACAAATTTTTTTTAGAGCTATCTAAACTTTATTTAAAAACTTGAATTATTCACCCACCTGTAGTTATTAATTATTTAACTAGTCTATGTAGTTCCTAAGGTAATAGAAAAGGGGATCATGAAAGCATGTATATAACTGGACAGAATCACGATAATGCTGTAAGATGTAGATTTAGTTAGGTTGTTATCTGATGTTAAGCAGTTTTAATATTACTAATTAAATCAAACTAGAAAACTAACCATAAGGTATAATGTAACAAAATAAAATTCAGGATATGAAAATGTAGAATGTAAAATTAAGTTTGCCATTTAAATTGTTACTTGTGGGGTTTAGCTGAGAGTAGACATCTATGGTTCCAAATTTGGAAACTGTTTAAAGTACTACAGCTAAATTGTTTCTAGTTTTCTTATTTCTTTATCACTTTTCAAATGTATTAAGCGTAAAGAGAAATTTATTTTATGTTTTTCATTTTGTTTTGCAAACACCACCTTGTAGCATTTAGTAGGTAAATATGTTGCATGAGATTTTAAGTAAGAAGTCTTCAAAATGAAGTAAAGAAGATGAAAATATTCTATTACCTTATGCAGAGACAAAAAAGAAAAAGAGAGCGAAAAAGAGTGCTGTCATTTAGAAAGCAAACAAAATGTATTTAAATTGTGACATATCCTTTGTTTTTTCAACATGACTTTTAGCCTCCAAAATCAATAAGGAATTAGTTAACATTTTTTTTTCTGACAAATACATGTTAAACCAAACATTTTAAATGACTATATTGTCATCCTTTTGGACTCTAGATTTTAGAATGATGATTTGGTATGGGGCAAATGAAAAATTCAGGTATAACCTTTTAGCTGTTAAAGAGCCAGACAAATCAACTTCAATTGTATGCACTGTGGGCAGAACATCCCGATCTGCCTGCGTTCATGGACTTTGTTGTGTGTCAGGTGAAGGACAGCCTTGTACCTGTCTAGGCACATAAAGGCACACTGGTGCCTGCTTGCTATTTACTCAAGAACAATTAACAATGTGTGGAAGTAGATGTATAATTTTAGGAGATCATTATCAGTAAAGACCTTATTCTCACTATTACTACAGTGGGGTCAGCTTATATATTTCTGGGTAGAATTAATACCTTTTTTTTTTTTTCTGATTCTGGAGATGCTTTTGCAAAAGGAATTTTCTCCGCAGTTGTAAACACAAAGCTGTTGTGGGTATCCTGTGGGGCCAGGAGCCCTTGACTTTGTGTGGGTTATTTTCTTTTAACACCATGGGCTGCTTTGTTTAATTCATTAGAAGAAAGGATTCTCTAAAATAGTAGAAATTCCACACACTGTTCAAGTTCCACTGACTTTGTAGAGAGGCAAAATAATAGGATATGTCACTTTTCCAAACTGCTGCCTCATCTCATTCCTAGCCAGGTGATATTTTGGGCAAGAAGAGAAAGCTTCTAGAGTCACTGTTGAAAAGGCTCCAAACCCCAATTTCATGGGGGCATTCACATGGAAAACACTCTTTGACAGTCAGCTTTGCAAGTATATGATTATCTTGTTAGGAATCACAGAAAATTTTATTTCTGTCTGAACTTTAGAGTAAAATAGCACCTTACTTTTTTTTTTCCCCCTCATTGACACAGCTGCCCCTATTGTCTTCACTTTCTACCACCCTAGTTCAAAGTGGCTAATTAGGATGCTGACCCTCTCTTAAGCCATAGTGGATCTCTGGGGTCCAACACCCTGCTCTGCTAAATACTGACGTAGCCTTTATCCTCAGATGCCTGATTTTTTTTCATAAAAGATGCTACCAATTTGGACATTATTTAAATTATTTATCAAATAGATTATTGCACAGAGAATACTTTAGGATATTAAAATTGTTTTTCCATGAAAATTAATTCTCTTCCTGTGTTCTTGAATTTGAGATGAAATCAGCCCCAACATGCATCTCAAAATTCACATACATGCACATGTTCTTCTAGGTCTTAGATATAATCTTTCTGTAAATCTATATGTGTTACTGAGAAGTGATTTTGCTAGAAAATTAACTTATTTACTTTATTCATCTTATTTTATTTCTAATTGCAAATATTTTATAGCTGCTGTAATTTTTTTTCCAAATGAGGAATCTTATTATCATAAAGGTAAAGGCTTTGCAACTCTGAGAACCTCCTGTGATTTTTCTTCAGACGGTTCACCCATCTAACCAGTTTATAACGAGTGCAGTTTCACTGTAATGGAAATCCATGTTTTCTGATAGAACACCATTCTTTCTCTACTTTTGCTCTTTAAGGACATTTTTCCTGTAATGCTCTAGCAAGTTGTCCCTGTATCATGAGAACTGGTTATATTTGTCCAAATATACAAACATAGGAAAACAGTTTCTTACCCGTAGGCTATAGTCTTCTTGTCCAAGCCACTTTTCCTTTTCTGCTATTTTTGACCCTAATGTATAAATGTTTCTCCCAAGCCTATAGCCCTTTTGAAGAAAAGCAAATCAGACCTTCTATGTATTGACATAAACCTGGTTTTCAAGTATCATTTCTGGAGTTTTCAGTTAATGGAGAGGTTGTACCTTTCCCCTTAATGTGTGAGTCCTTTTCCTGTATATTTCTGGATCTCTCAGGGGCTGGGAGGGGGGAGTGAGGGGACTACAACCATAGCACTCCAAGAACCCTTTTGGAATTACTACAGTAATCAACTACGAAAGTTATTTTCTAAGTGTAGATATGTAAGCTGTTCTCTTAAAGTAAGGTACTTTGAAATATGTAGCATAAACTGGTACTGCTGTTAAATGGGTCGATTATTATACTGAGCAGCTGTGCGAGGGCAGCTAACTTTGAATGCGCATCTCACTGGCTGGTGTGTCTACATCTCATATTGTGAGCACCAGGAATTGCACCGCTGCATGTTAAAAATGCATTTTTCTCACTGTTTGACTGGTCCTTCATCTCTTTCTTGAGCATCGGAACAAGATGTTAAGATGTAATGAAAATGAGATGAACGTGTCACACGATTCATAGCACAAAACAATAAGCCACATGAAATCTTCTCTCAAATTCTCATCTCATGCACACATCAAAGTAGTTGACTAAGGTCAGTTTGGGTGATAAAGGGAGACACTTTACCGAAAGGCAGAGTTGTGTTCACGACGTCCTTATTTTCTTAACTTGCAAAAGAAAACAAGTCCTCTCTCCTGTTGAAGTATCTTCAAAGGACAGGGGTACAAAAATAACTTGCTGGTAAGCCATCAATGTTTCATTTAAATCCCAGCGTTCAAAGTTAGCTGCCTTTTTGAAATAAACAAACAAAAAATACTACTGTATGTTTGAAAATGTGAATAGTATTTTTATAGCTTGTTAAAGACATGGCTAGTTGCATTTGTAAATAAGGATAATGTTGCTTTGATTTTCTTTTGTGAACATCTTTATTTGGAACATAATTGTCTTTAGGGTTGATTTGTATATAAGTAATTGGCTTGTGATTGTTTCTTTTTTTGGTTGGAAGTTATCATTTTGACATTACTCGTGATTCTGTGTTCAGCACTATTGTGACGTGTCCAACCTCTGCACTCGCTTACACAATAGGATATGCCAATTGTGTGTGGTGTAATGTTATTTTAATTTTTTTTCTATTTTATCTATGAAGGATTATGCACTTAACACATACTAACTTTTTTAATGTTAGGTATATTTTTAGTATAATTTCCCTTATTCTCTCCTCTCCTCCAGCCTTTCACCCCTTTCCCCGCCCTTCCCCTGATTTCTGTTGTTATTCGAGAATGAGGGAGAAACAGTATTTTAAATTTCTGTAATTAGGCTTTTCAGTTAGTTCTCAAGGATCCTCCTTTGGCTCTTGGGAAAGAATTATACCTGTTCAAGGCAATTATAGAATGCGAACTGCTTTGCCTCATTCCGTACTGATCATCCCAGCTGAACAATTTGAAAACTGTTCTGCCTTTTTGTTACATGAATCTGTCAGAAATATATTTTTAATTTAATATAAATGAAATTCAATAAAATATGAAACAAATGTTCTCTTCTGTGTCAGAAATTTGTTATAAGAAAAACCGGTTGGGGAAGAATAAGGTTTGTTCTCGATTTAATCACCTAAAGATGTAAAAATGGCTTTTTTTAACCATATTTATGAATCTCATTAATTATTCCTCAAGCCCTTTGGTTGTTTGGACTGTGATCCATTCCATATGCTTTCACCATTCCACACATATGCCTACTGATGTGAGCAGAGTATTCATCTGTGCAGACCATGCTTAATTAATTTTGGTTGGTTTGTTTCTTTGGAATAAAAAAAAATCATAAAATATTTTGTAGATTAAATCCCAGTAGTATTAATATTTTTTTTTTCTTCCTGGTTGCAATTTAGAAAATGATTGTTCCTCTCAAAACTTTCGTTGTAAAGAATATCAAACGTGACCACCATTCTTCCAGAGAGGGAGGGAGACATTTGACTAATAATTAGGATAAGCCCCTGGAATTTTAGGAGAGTGATTTCAGAGGCATTGGTGACATGAACAAGATTTAAGTATTGACTATTAGTTCTTCATTCCTCCCAAAGTTTGATAATTTTAAGATTCTAATAACTTCTCACTAGAGAGTCTGCAATTCTTTTAAATTATTACATTTGATTGTACATGGTTTTAACTGAGTCAATGGACAAAGACACATTTTCAATGTAATATATCATAGTAAATTCTCTTACACATGTTCAGTTATGGCACTTTAAATATCTTGCTAAGAACACCTCCTACTATTTTTATGGACACGCACACAGACTCTCCCTTAGATATTTTGACCTTTTCATATGAAATCATTGTCATCTCAGTGTTCAGGGTGAGATATGTCAGAGCACCCTGCATTTTAAGCCATTGATAGACTAAAATAGAGAGAAAAATAAATTGTGTTACTAATGCTTTAAGGTACAATTGAAATTTTCAGTGTCACCATGTTAGTTTATATCAATTGTAATACTGACCAGTTATACTGCCCTTTACCATGTATTAAAAAAATTCTGCATATATTGGATCACTTTGCTTTCAATACCTTTTTGAAATAAGTACTATTGGAAGAGTCCTCCCTATAAGGAAAATAAAATAATAAATCTAGAGTCATGCAAACATTACTAACAGGTGTTACCTGCAAAGCTGTATCCTTTGACAAGTATTATTCTTTCCTCTACTTAAACACTTTTCTTTCCCTCTCAGATAAAGAGGAACTTATTCTAACAGGAGTGTACTTTAGACTAACACATTGACTGAGTAAGGCGACCAGTGATCTTCCTCAAACCCTTGACAACTGCTCTTATAATACAACTAAACACTTCACTCTACTTCCTCAAACTACCTGGGAGCAACTTATCCATAATGAAGAATCAGGTTGTTTTCATTCAAGAAAGATAAATGCAACACAGCCACAAATAAAAAGCTTTTAAATAATGACGATGTAAATAGCCTACTGGTTAAGTATGGTTTTATAAATCTTCCTGGTAAAGGTAGATTAAATATGTCAGAGAATGTAGTGGAAAACCACATTTATCTCTGGCAATATTAATGTGTACATTAATGTTAATATAGGTGAGACCTCACATAAAATACTTAATTTACAAATAAATAGATATATCTTATGGGGTTTATTATATGTTAAATGGTCACTAGAAACTAAAACATTGCCAAGAATCTGATTCTCATTGTTTCAGTCAGTTTAATGTTGCTTTGAACAAAAGAAGTCGGAAGAACAACTTAGAGGAGGAAACGTTTATTTTGTTTCATGGTTTCAGGGGTTTATTGTAGGTCTTGGCCCAAGGTAATAGAGAACATCATAGTGGAGGGGCATAGTGGAGGGAAGCAGCTCAGTATGTGGCAACAAGGAAGCAGCTAGAGGTCCACTCATCAGAGACAGAAAATAAACACAAAAATTATACACTCAGTGATCTACTTCCTCAAGTCACACCCCGCCTTCCCAGTTACTACCCAGTTAATCCATATCAGTCGATTAATCCACTTCTTAGGTTAAAACTCTCAGAATTTAACCATTTCTGTCCTCACCATTTCTGCATTGTCTAACCCATAAGCTTTTGGGGGACACTCATATCCAAAACATAATGCTGATAAAATACCAATTTTTATTTAAAATAATAATGGTGGGGTAAGGGACTCAGGCAGAGACTGTGACATATATTAGAGCTTCAAGACTAAAATGAATATCAAAATTCAGCCTCTAGCTACTCTATTCTGCTATACACTCCAAGATTCTGAATTCACAATTCTTTAATTTTAAAAGCCCCATGGGGATATAGATATACATTTTTATAAAGAATATAGAAAAAGAATACATTATATAAAACATTTAAACATATTTATATAATGAAAAACTTCATACAAAATCTTTATTTTCAAGCTCTTTCAACACAAGCCCCAAGAAATATATCAAACTGCAAGCTATACTCATAAAACTGTAGGCTGAGCAGGTGCGTAGTTAGCTAATTGTATTTCCCTCCACAGTATTATCAAGCTGCATGATAAACCATGGGGAGCAAAGCCACTAGACAACCATCTTAAGATTAGAAACAGAAGACTGTCACCCAGATAGCAATTTTAAAGCTATAAACAGAACAATTCACCACAAGATAGCAATCAGGAGACTGTAAACCAAATGGTACACAGGAGACATGTGAATATTGGCATACCTGCTTTTGCAAGCTACCCTTAGGTTTTTAAAAGAAAAATACCCCTCTTGAAAACTATTTGACCTATTTCTACTTCCTTATCTTTCCAAGATAAGGTGGGAGTTCTACAAAATCATAGAAATATTGCTGGCTCTTTGACAAATAGGAAAACAAAGCTTCCAAGCTTTAAAAACGTATTCTATTAGCCACCCACTGATTCCTACTGTAAAGGGCACATAGATACACAAAAGACAGATTGTATCTTAATATCACCTTCCAGTTAACTTAAACATTATATTTTATGTCATCTTCTTCCATGTATTCAGGAACTTTGGGACTCCTCCTGCATTTAGAAGTATGCAACTATTATGCTTGTGTGGATTTCCAGTCACCACCTCCTGACAAGGACATTAAAAAAATAACAAATATTGGCTGGATATTTTCCATATGCTGACTTTCTCTATGCATTTTTTTCATTTGATGTTCACTATTTATTAGTTAACTTCTGCTATTTTCTTCTTTTCATAAACGAGGAAAGCAAAATTTGAGAAAAATTAAAAACGTTGATCAAAACCTAACAAAAAAGTGTCAGAGCTATAAATTTGCTTGACCATTAAATGCTTTACCCCTTATGGTCTATTGTAGTTACCTTATAATATCAATGATGATGTGGCAGCTATGCTTTTCTTCACAAATGGGTATCCATGAACATTTAAATTTAGATGTTCAAAAAGTGTAATTTAAATGTGCAAAAAATAAAATTTTATCTTTTTCTGTAACAAAACTTAATGTCTTTCCCAAATTTCTAGATTACCCAAGAGGAGAAAATATGAACTGAGCAATTAAGAATTTTTCTCAGAATTAATTTACAGTATATTCAGACAGTTGAGGGCTTTAAGGCCCGTATTAGTAAAGAGTCACAAAGCTTTTGTAGTGATGATAAATTAACTCTGGTTCATCATAGAAAAGATTTATTTCTACTATAGTTCTGACAGCTTCTTTCTGTGTGATACCTTAGGAGAACAGACTAGTTATTTTGGCTCATCTCTCTAAACGTTACCTCCTTAAAGATCTTAACAGAGAAAAAAAGGTTGGCAGGTCAAAAGAGGGTCTTTTCACTGCCATGACCCAGAAATGAAACATCAATTCTGATCATAATTTCTTGATTAAACTAACTACCTCCTACTAATCACATTCAAAATATAGGAACATATGGGTATTGAGGGAATGTAAGCTTGTTTGCCAAGTGCCTGATGTAGCATCATGACCAGGGAAATGTCTCTTCCTTGCCGGTGTCTAATATTACAATATCATTAGATTATTGGTAGTTTCACTATTCTATTTTGTCTTCCTTTCAGATATCTGCATCCCCCTCTGTACCCAGTCATTTGGTCTAACACACACCCTTCATTCATATGCCCTTACTATGACTAGAGTCCTCAAGCTCTCATGCAAACCCCTGAACTTTTTTAGAGCAAACAGCTAATTTTTTTCTCACTCCTATTACTTCTAGGCTATAAAAACTTGGTTCAGCTACATGTGGCTCTTACTACTCTCATTCCACAGGCAAGTAAAACTCAATGAGGCCACTTTTCAAGATTCCAGCAGAAAGCAGGGAATAGTTTGTATTTCCAAACTTAATCTAAGAGAGGTACAGGAAAAAGTCACATGGTCATGGACACTCAACCCACTCAACCGAATGTGTCATTTTCTTCTTCATTATCATTTTTCCTCCCTAGATCAGACAGGCTGTACTGATTGAAAGTTTAATGTGGGGGAAGGGCTCTTTTGAATCATGGCATAAATCGAATCCACATTTTTTCCAAACAGTAAAGTTAAAAACAAAACTTTGGTCATTTTTCTTCTAGTTCTGCTCTCCATGGTTCCAGAAGAGGAATTCCTCATATATAAAAGAATTATTTGAGGAAGAAAAATAATACTGGGCTGGGTAGTGTATAAAGCAAACCACATGCATTTTTTTTCACTCAACTTTTATGAATTGTAAGGTAAGAGCTGCACTTTAACATGTATTACGTTCTGAAGATGGTAGGGCACAATAAAATGATGAAAGGCAGAAAGATTTATGACTTAATAGTGAAGCACCAAAACGTAGGACTGCCACACAGGACTGCACAAACTAGACCTGTGCACAGCCTTTGTATGGCAAGATGGTGGGGGACCTGCAAGTTTAGAAGGCTTTCTGTGGACTGAGAAATTTGAACGATCCATAGCCCATGAAGGAAGGGGCTTAGATATTGGTTTGCTAGGGCTTCTGGCAGCTGGGATAGATGTGTTGTAACCCAGGAGTGTTAGAACCTTATTAGGGAAGGGATTGAGGCAAGGACTTAGCACTAC